CATGGAAGAGGTTATGGAACTGGGATTTAAAGTTTACGGCATGTTATGCTTTGAAAGAAAATTATATGAAAATGGTGTATCACTGGTATTTAACCCTAGCAAATTAGCTAAAATGAATAAAGCAAGGTCAAATACATGCTGGAAATGTAAGGAAAGGGAGGGCACCTTCTACCACATGTGGTGGAACTGTAAAGCAGTAAAAGAATTTTGGGAGATGATATATAATGAAGTGAAAAAAATGATTAAAATAACCTTTTCCTAAAAAAAACAGAAGCTTTTCTTCTAGGAATTGTAGGTACCAAAATTCCACGGGACCAGAAGAGACTTTTTATATATGTGGCCACTGCTGCCTGAATACTATTAGCCCAGAGATGGAAAGAAGGCACAGTCTCTACCAGTGAAGAATGGCAGATTAAATTGATGGATTAAGCAGAAATGGCAAAACTGATTGGAAGAGTTGGGAATCGGGGGGGGGGATTAATAATGGGGAAAATATATGATTTACCTTAAAATCACTGTAAACAATTACAATTATTAGTAGGATTGGAATGACACTTGTATTTAAATGTTGGACTATTGTTGTAATGGAGATTTAATAGAATTGGATTAACAGAGAAGATGTGGGAGGGGGGGTGTTAACATAAGGACCCACAAAGGGGAGGAGGAAAGTCCATGGGAATTTATGTTGGGGAAAAATATTTGTTTGATGATTGTTTGTAAATTTGAAAATTATAGATGATAAGAGATAGATGATAGATAGATAGATAGATATAGATAGAGAAATAGATAGAGAAATAGATAGATAGATAGATGATAGATAGATAGATAGATAGATAGATAGATAGATAGAATGGCATTGTGCTATATTGTTACAATGTAAATAATTAAAGATCCTTCTAGCAGCCCCTTCTCTCCCCATGAAGTTCTTAAGAACACTTTTAATACAACCATACTCTAGCAGACTATATTGATTTATTTAGTAAATTTACATCCAACCTTTCTTCCATCATGCAGTCCAAGCTTGTCTCCCATCTAGACACCAGCCAAACCCAGACCTGCCTAAGTTCAACAAACTGTCTGCATTGCGTGTTCTCAGACCAGGCAATGTATGCTTTTCTCTAGCACCGATTAACAAAATAAATTTCTTTGGAGGGTTTTGAAGATCAGCCTGTTAAGCAAACTCTAACTACACACTCCAGCTTTTCATAACTAGGGAGGGAATGATAAAAGCTTCACGTTGCTTCTAATATGGTGCCTGCATCTGCTGTTCTTAAGGTGAGGCAATAAAATGTGTGTGTGTGTGTGTGTGTGTGTGTGTGTGTGTGTGTAAGAGAGAGAGAGCTCATCAAAATTAATAGCTTATGGTTATTCGCGTCATTATTCTTAATGGGACTGAACATGTACCACAGTCTGCAGAAGGAACACTTGATTCACCTACAATTTATAACCCATTATGACCTGACTGGTCTAACCATGAGCATAAAAGCCCTCATTGCTAACAACGATATGATGTGTGCAATAAAAGGAATACTAATCTTGGTTCCAAATAAGGAGATCTCTCTGTCTTCTTGCATCAGTTTGTTATGAACTGATTTAAGAAGAGTTTATATGTATGCTTTAGTTGAGATTCCAACATTGTAGGGGACTGGACTAAGTGGTAGAGTGCTGTTGTGTTCAGGTCCCAAAGGCATCCGGCCGGCCACTCTGAGAGCAGGAAGCTGGACTAAGATGAGCCATTGGCTTTATTCAGCAGACTGTTCATATGTTCCTATGTTAAATAGTGTCTCTTTCTTTTAATTGTCAAATAATTCTGTGTACATTGCGGCAGCCTTTGGCTATGCGCAATAAAACTGACTGAGACTGAGACTGAAATAGTGTCACACGCCACCTCAATCTCTGAGCAGGGTGAGATTCCAGGGGTTCCAGGTGCTTACTCAGGATTCATGTTTCCTTTAGGAAAGAGGCACATGAGCAGAGACTGTGATGTTTTTATGATATATGGTTTATTTACACTTACAGTGGTACCTCGGGTTACATACGCTTCAGGTTACACACACTTCAGGTTACAGACTCCGCTAACCCAGAAATAGTACCTCGGGTTAAGAACTTTGCTTCAGGATGAGAACAGAAATTGTGCTCCAGAGGCCCCATTAGCTAAAGTGGAGCTTCACGTTAAGAACAGTTTCAGGTTAAGAACGGACCTCCGGAACGAATTAAGTTCTTAACCCGAGGTACCACTGTATATACAACCTGAGCCTACGATGGTGGGGTTCAGAGCATTAACACCCCAAGAAGGTCTTGTTTCTCCTATAGCCATAGCCTTGGATTCCAGCAGATATTAGGCATGGTGCTTTCTTTCTTTCTTTCTCTCTCTCTCTCTCTCTCTCTCTCTCTCTGCCCTTTTGCTGCTTTTTCCTCTGGCTCACATCACTGAACTCTCAACTCTCACCTTTGTCTTATATACCAGCCAGATGAGGGGGAGGAGCACACATTTCCCACCTCACACAGATCCACTTCCTTTGTTCCCTTCAATGGCCCATCACCCAGGCAGTCACCTCATCAGGAAGCTATATTTTAACAGCTGCTGCATCCAGGGATTAGAAGGGTCTTGGCATACAGTCTATGTTCCCAAAACTCATAACACCAGGCATAGATGAAGTTGTCTTCATCTAGTCCATGTTGTTATGATGAGTTACATGATGAGCTCCAAGCCAACTGTTCAACTCTTGGTTTGGAGAAGTGCAGTTGGTGTGAGTCTTCTCCATTCAGTCTGGCATCTCCATTCCAGACACTTTCAGGGCCTTTGGAGGCATGGGTCACTTCTGGATTTTGAACCCCACAGTGCTAATAAATGCAGCCACATAAAAATGGTGACACATGCAAACAAAAAAAGGCACCCCAAAAACAGGGAGCAAAGCACACTGGCCTTACGTGTGCTCCCACATGCAGGGATATTTTGCACGGAACTTGGAGAGCAGTACTTTTCCTGGTTTAGCAGTCAGTCATGTAAAAATTGTAATCCAAAGATATACTGTGTGGTCAAAATGTGTGTATTGCAAGGGTCCTGGATCCATTTGTATATGCCGAATGATTGTCTGATTCTCTGACTCTGATTGTCTGATTCTCTGACAAAAGGCAGACTATTGATTATAGGAAGAATGAATGGGCTTCAGAGGTCTTTCCCTAAGCAAAATCCAAGGCAAAAATCACAAGTGGGAACACCCAGACCAAAGTGAGGGAAAGTGTGGATGGGCCCTTTGTGATGGCAGCTTTTATTTCTCTATATTTTTTTCATGGTTCTAGCTCCCAATGTGTTTCCCCCCAAGTGAGCACTTTTCAATAGGTGTATTTTCCTGTCATAGCCTAACAAATTCACATTAAAGGGAAGGTGGGCAGGAGAATGAAAAGCATTGCATTACACAGTTACATTTGGTTTTATTTTGTGATCATAAAATTGGAGCCATTCAGGTGTTTATAAATATCTTTCTTAAATAAACCCTGGGACACTAGAAACCTGATGTCAGTACTAAGGATAATCTCTCTCATCCTTTTGACGAAACAATTGTTTAAAAATTGAAAGACTAATCATGGAGTTTCTGGAATGTGGCAACAGTCAGAAATCAAGATACATTTGCACTAAATGCATTCTGCCTGAGATGATACACTAGCCACATGAGAGCATGTTCTTACCAGATTTAAGGTGTATATAAAATAATTGTGACTCACCAGTCCTCTTACAAATCTGAAATTGAGGGGTCCCCCCCCCCCGAGTGCAGTGTGCCATATTGGTGATAATCCAATCCTGAATTGTGACTCCAGACTGGTTATTCCTGTGTTGGGCAACCTCTGTTTGAGCAGTTGCTAGTAATGAGTTAGATTTAACCAGTGGCCTTTCAGAGCTCCCAGTAGCTCCAGATGGCATTGCCAATAATCAGAGATGGTGGGAGTTGTCAGACAACAATATCTGAAAGGCCACTGGTAGCATATCTCTAGGTTAGACCCTTCATTTGATACAGCAGTGTTGCTCTGTTCTTTCATTCCCTGTGGAATGCACAGTAGCAGTACTATATTTATAAAGTGTCAGGAGAGTTTCTTGAGAAATGCACTGATTGATTAACATATTGCTATGAGTTGGGTGGTGGGTGGGCAGGTGGCGCTGTGGGTTAAACCACAGAGCCTAGGGCTTGCCGATCAGAAGGTCGGCAGTTCAAATCCCCGCAACAGGGTGAGCTCCCGTTGCTCGGTCCCTGCTCCTGCCAACCTAGCAGTTCAAAAGCACGTCAAAGTACAAGTAGATAAAATGTTACCGCTCCGGCGGGAAGGTAAACAGTGTTTCCGTGCGCTGCTCTGATTCACCAGAAATTGGCTTAGTCATGCTGGCCACATGACCCGGAAGCTGCACGCCGGCTCCCTCGGCCAGTAAAGCGAGATGAGCATCGCAACCCCAGAGTCATCCATGACTGGACCTAATGGTCAGGGGTCCCTTTACCTTTACCTATGAGTTGGGTGGGTGGGTGTCTAGATTCCCCATTAATGTATTATGATTTAGTAAAAGTTTGAATTAATCAAGGTTTCCCTAAACTTTACCAAACACAGAACCTCCATCCCTACCCTCCCTTCAGTTATGCTAATGAGCCAAGCCAGCTCAACAAAGCTAGCTGGATGGGCATTAGCAGGGGACAAAGGGCAGTGATGGAAACCATCAGAGGACAAGACTGCCAGGCAAGGTGGAGTGGGGCTCCTTCTTTGTGGGGCACGAGTGGGCAGAGGCAAAGGCCAGGTTTAGGATTTCAAGTCTGAATGACGTAGACTAGGAGGAGGTCCTTGGAGTCGGTTGGCACCAAGAAGGAGAAGGAGGGGCAGAACTCCATGTGAGCTGGGGATACCAGGCTAGAACAGAGAGACACAGAGGATAGTAAATAGAATCATATATCACAAGGACACCACATTCTCTGTTGTGCAGCATTGTTCCAAAACATTCCCAGTACAGAAGTGCCACATTGTTTGATTGCAGAGCTTCTGATTTGCAAGCGGAATGCCCAAGGTTCAATCCTCAACATGTCCAGTCAGGGCTGGAATATCCTGTCTGAAGCCCTTGAAAGTGCTGCTGCAGAGTTTGAACAATAGGGTTCTAGTTTAGTGCAGATTCCTATGTTTCTACTGCCTTCTTAAAACTGACAGTGAAATGATTTCTTATTTTTATGATATTCAGGTATTCTTTAATAAATTATTCTATGGACTGTTTGAATTAGCTACTTCAAATGAACTTTTAGAGGCCTCTTCCTAGGAATAAGGGTGGTGGAACCCCTACTGTAGTACAACATTTTACATAAATTTCAAAGGGCTGCTTGACTGCTTTTAAGAAGAGACCATTCCAACCTTTGATCATCTATTTGATCACTATTTCAAAGCTGCCTGGCAGGGGCTTATTTCCATGGGATTTTTTAAACCCAGTGTGTATATCCATAGGCAAAGAGACCAGAATGGATGCAGCCACTCCCCCTTACATAGGAATGCCAATTTTTCATTTTTGAGTTCCTACTCAACTATGGGAGAATTTCAGCAATCCACCTGGAGAATATCAAATGGAATTTCCCCCTTTCCCAATTTCACTTGCAGATATGAAGGAGAATTTTGGGTGCAACTGTGGATCCAGATTTAATATTCTTTAACATTATTTTAAAATTGTTGAAGGCAGAACCAAAATATCAGAAGAGTCTTCAGGATCACGCCAGTGTCCTACCTGGTCCAGCATCCTGTTCTCACATTGGACAACCAGATGCTTGTGGAAACCCTCAAACATGAACCAAGCTCAAAAACACTCTCCCATCCTGTGGTTTCTAGCAACTGGTATTCAGAAGCATTACTGCCTCTGACTGCTATGTTATCTTTCTGGTAAGTGGGCCACTGCTGCTTGCAGGGAGGGAGAGGATAAAGGGAGAGGAGGTTGGTGCAGTGCAAACACATTGGCAGAACCATTCCGGTCCTCCTGTTGGTATATTTGCACTGTGCCTTCCCCCTGCTGTCTCTCCCTGCTTGCTTCTCCCACACTACCTCTCAGTAAGAAACTATGACCTACCTGCTAACACAGAGGTTCTACCCTTCCCAGCAGGCCCCTCATTTTTAAAATACATTTGATTTTCACACATATAACAAAAATCTACTTGCAGAAACACTAGAAATAAGACAAGCATACAGGAAAATATAAATTATAAAGAACATAAATGATTACAAAATTAAAGAAGATGTTACAGGTGAACTGCTGTGGACTATCCATACTAAGAGCATCATCTTCAACTTTAATATTTTTCTTTCCCTGTCTATAAAACACACAGGTGAAGAAATATCAGGTTTGTAAAAACAGTAAAGCCATTCTATACTGCAAAACACAAATCATTCTACTCTGGCCCCCTTTCACCTTAAAGTTATGTGTCAATTTCTCAAGTAGAACTTGTCAAGATAAGGGTATAAAAGGTAAGTCAATTAAACAAGCTTCCTTATTGACTAGCCCAGTCCAAACAGATCTACCAACTGGCCACTGGTCTGGGCACAAGGATTTAGAAGCTGGACTTGCACTCAAGAAACCATACAAGAAACTAAAAAACACATAGAACTTTATTTGGACTAGTCACAAGCAGAGACATCACCTTGCCAGCAAAGGTCCGTATAGTTAAAGCCATGGTTTTCCCAGTAGTGATGTATGGAAGTGAGAGCTGGACCATAAAGAAGGCTGATCGCCAAAGAATTGATGCTTTTGAATTCTGGTGCTGGAGGAGACTCTTGAGAGTCCCATGGACTACAAGAAGATCAAACCTATCCATTCTTAAGGAAATCAGCCCTGAGTGCTCACTGGAAGGACAGATCGTGAAGCTGAGGCTCCAAGACTTTGGCCACCTCATGAGAAGAGAAGACTCCCTGGAAAAGACCCTGATGCTGGGGAAAGTGGAGGGCACAAGAAGAAGGGGACGACAGAGGATGAGGTGGTTGGACAGTGTTTTCGAAGCTACAAACATGAGTCTGACCAAACTGTGGGAGGCAGTGGAAGACAGGAGTGCCTGGCGTGCTCTGGTCCATGGGGTCACGAAGAGTCAGACGTGACTAAACGACTAAACAACAACAAAGTCGCATTTACTATAAAGGGTCCCATTACTCAGGTGGAATCTACACACACATAATAAACGCTGTGAAAATGCTTTTTTTAAAAAAAAACCCCCCAAAAAAACACCTTGAAATTGCCATAGCCATCTAGTGTCACATTTGTATATTGCACCTTACAACACACTCAAAACGTTTTATTTGCAGCTGTACAGCTGAGTCCCCAGACAAACATGAAACAAAATCAAAGAACTACTAGGATAAGGGTTATTGGAGCAAGTCAGAACCCCCACAGACTTCTTTAAAAAAAACCTATTAAGTAACTAAACAGTCATAAATCAACTGACACCTGCCTGCCCCCCCCCCCACAAGTGCTCACCCCAACTGGCATTTTACACAGTCTCAAAGAGAAAGTAGGAAAAGAGGTGTTGAGGGCAGAGGTGAAGTTTTTATAATAAATCACTGCTGCTACATCCCTGCAGGGGTAGAGATACCTGCCCCGGCACCCAGAGTGGTGTGGGGGCAGGGCTAGCCATCCCGCAGGAGCAGGGCTAGCTGCCCGTGCAGTGAGTGTCCTTAGCTTCCTGCCGCCTGTGTGGCGAGCATGGGGGGGGGGCACTGCTAGCTGCCCGCAGCAGCATCATCCCTAGCGGCCCACTGCCCACTCAGCAAGCAGGGTGATGGTGGTGGCGGCGCAGCGATGTCACCTGGCCTCACAGCTGACACCCGGTGTGCACCGCACCCCCTGCACCCGCCCTCCTCCGCCAGTGCATCCCTGGTGATCATGGGTCTAGTTACACGCTTAAAAAAAAAGTGGGCAGGAACTAGGAAAAACTTTATGCAAGATAAGGAGGGGGGAAATTGCAAGGCGCAGTCATCTCCGACCTCCTTAGCCCTTTCGGCACCAGGTCTTGACAGCACTATGTCCCAAATGTTTTACTACCTGGGGGGGGGCACTTTTTTGGGGGCCTGCTCCTTCCATACCCCACTGCTGCGAACGGCAGAATTTTATTTTCAGTCTTCAAGCCTTTCCTTGATTTCACTTATATTCTTACTGTTTGGTGCTGCATTTAATTCTGCTGTCCTGTCTTCATTTTCTGATGCCTGCTTTCTGCTGGATTAGACTTTGTGCTGTATCAGTTTCAATGGTTTTGTATTGTATTTAGTTGCTTAAGTTTTTATTGGAAGCCCCCCAGAGAACTTATATTTATTTGGTACATAAATAGGATAAATAAACAAACAAACAGATTGGTTCCACCTCCCTGCTGAGCCTTAGGATTTATCATAAACCCCTTTCAAATATCCCTCATCCATGGATTCACTCGAACCATGGAGGAGGGTTGTGCCCAGCCACACTCCAAACACACCATTGGCTGCAGCACCTGACATTCAGGGTGGGCCCAAGCCATTTTGCTGCCTGTGGCAAAGGACAAGATGGGAATCCCAACCAAGTTCTGAACACGGGAACCAGACATGCTGGCAGCTGAATCTTGCTTCAGCACTGGCGTCTGAGCATCCTCCTCTAAAACATATGAAACCAGAAGGCTACTGTCAGGGAACTGACATCGGAGCTAGAGGCGGAGGGAAGGCTCTCAAATGATGCTGGAGAAGGGCCCAGCAGGGAGAGAGGCAGCTCAGCAGATGGGGAAGCAATTCAGCGCAACACCAGGAATAAAGAGGGGCAGATGGGGGAATCGGTGAGAGGGCTCCCAGACTCTTCACCGGACACCAGCGGAGAGAGCACGGGTCCTCCGCTACCCACGCCCTCCTTGCGCAGAAGACTTCCGCGCAGAGAGAGTAGGAGGAGACTGGGTGTCAAACAACTTTTATGTTGGAAAAGGTTTAAGAAACGCCCACTGACGGATTCTACTAGCGACTGAGGCAGCCACGAAGTGAAGGGCTGTCCAGACTGAAAGGTTTAACAAGGCAACAAAGCCAGGAGAGGCGGCAACTTACGCACGAGCAACCCATACTCTTTACAGCTACCTTAGCAGGTGCAGGACAAGGCATGCTTCATACACATCCAGCTACCCATAACTATCTGCCCCACAGCATCTCCTTCCTGAGACGGTATGATAGCAATGAAATGGATGCTTAATGAGTAGGCCTTTTTTATATATAATAATTTTTATTAACAATTTTAACATAACAAATTATTTCAACAATTGTATTTTCTCCCACTTGGTAAAAAAGTAAAATGGCTTACATATGCGGATTTGTTAAAAGACTATGAAGGAAAATGGAAATTAAGAGATTATGAGGAAATAAAAGATCACTTTCAGAGTTGGTTACACTATTGGCAATTACATGAGATATACAAAGAAGACAATAAGAAAGGGTTCAGTTACACAACATCTAGGTTTCAAAAGAAAGTGGAAGGGAAGGTAAAGTTGCTGAAGGGTGCATATAGTATTCTGCTAGAATGGGAAACAAAAGTTGAAGAGGTGAAATCAGTCATGATTAAATGGGCACAAGACACAGGTCACAATGTAATGTTTGAAGTTTGGGAAAGATTGTGGAAAACTAATTTAAAATTTACAGATTGTTCTTTACTGAAAGAGAACTATATGAAAATGACGTATAGATGGTACATAACACCAGTACACATAGCAAGAATGTATAAGACCAGTTCAAATATATGTTGAAAATGCAAGGAAAAAGAAGGCACTTTTTATCATATGTGGTGGGAATGAGTAGGCCTTTTGAAGCAGAGAGGAAAGTCTGCATGAGGGCACATGCACATAGAGTCATGTGAGCATAGACATGCTCTGCCCAGTTGACAGCCCTGCCCAGCAGAGCTTCCCAGTCACATCAGACACGCGCATGCCGACAGCATAAGCATATGAGTGCCTCTTTTCAGACTTCTTTCTCCACACTAGAGGATGGTAGGTGGGGCCAAGGACTCATCTCTACTCCCTCCTCCATATATAGAGTGAATGTGTGGGGAAATAAGTATGAAAGGCGCTATGCTTTTGAGTCAGAGCCCAAAGTAATCAAAATTGACTATTACACCTGAGTGTTTTCTATTGCCTTAGATGTTATTTAATTTAGATCGTGCTGCCTTTGAAAGATAAAGGCTGCAACAGCTGTGTGTGAGAGACAGAGACAGAAAACCTCAGAATTTTCATTGTTAAAAGCAGCTACAAAATAGTTAAAAGCAGTACTTAAAAGCAACTAGTAGAAAATGCACGCAGCTGAAATGCAACCTTCTCTCTGTTTTGATATTCTTATTCTTATGTATCTCAATGTATATGATAAAACAGATAAAACAGTTTTTAAAACAGTACAAAAACAACAGAAGCTATTTTGAAAAATTCATACACAAAAACGGGGCAGAATGGACTGATGGTTGAACACATGTGAAAGTGAGACAGACTGGAAATAGACTGATCCTGTCCCCCTGTGCTCCAGTTGGAGCTAGCCCCCTCACTAGCCTCCATCCTCGTCAATGAAATGAAAGACTGCCTGATTCCTTATATCAATGTTCCTTTGCTGAGATGTTAGCAGTGGTAGTCCCCCATAACTCAGATTTAGGTGCACTCAGATTTAGATACAAATTGTAGGAATATCCACAGGGAGCCCTCATTCTATGCTGTCCAGGTTTTAGGCTCATTTGAATTTCCATTTCAGATTTGCTTTCAGATCATGCCTGCTCCTTCAGAAAGCCAACCCAATCTCTACCAAGCTGTACTGAACAGACAACTCTGACGAAAGCTCCATCCTTCCCAAGGTCCACATATGACTCACTGCTCTCATAAAGCACAGCTTCATTTACTTTTTTATAGTTAAGTTTATGGCCCATTTTGGGCCCCTTATTCCTCGGTGCATTTTGTCCTGAATTGTCCCCTATTTTACCAGTGCAGGTTCTGAGAGACATCATGAAACAATTATTTGAGCTGAAGAGAAAGATGCTCATTTTGTGACATATATAAGAGCAGGGTCCCGTCCCCCCGCCTTGCCTTAAAACCATCTTCTGTTCCAGAGGCACTGTAATAATGGCAAGCTTCCATTCTCCTTCCTTCATAAAGTTAGTCAGAACATTTTCCCAGCATTTCACTTAGATTTATGTCCTGCTGCTGTCCCCTGCTGACCGCTCACATCACCCATTTGGGCTGTTGTGGTATGTAAGTGCCATCTAGCGGGGACAAACAAGAAATGAAATATGGATACTTGCGTAACAAAGGGAAGTATGGCCTTATTGAAAATGTTTCTTTATGTTCCAGAAAATATTTGGGTTATTTAAATTGTCATTTTCATTTTTAGCTCTCTAGCTAGTAGAATATACAGTATTTCTTATACTCACAAAGAAAATGTAGTCATTCACCTGACCATTCCAGGTGAATGATTTATACATGAATGACAACAATTACCAAGGCTTGGGTGAATATTGCAGTTTTAACACTACTTGCCTGGGAGTAAGTCTTATTGAATCCCATAAGATTTATTTCTGAGTAGATATCTATCAATTTCAGTTCCTCTGTTTTTAATTTTTTTCCAAATCTTAAATTCTCCACATTTTTGTAGCAATTTATGTTTTTTGTTTAAAAAATCCTTCAGCATTTTACTGTCCTAACGTACAATTTTTTGTCATACATACACAATTTTTGCAAAAAAATTTCCTTTATAATGCATTTTTGAATGCTGTTTTTATTAATGCATCTATTTATATGTATATGTACACTTTCCCCTAGTGTGTTTATGCACACTATGTTGAGTGTAGCTGAAGTCACCTGTTATTACAACCAGGCAGTGCTTTTTTTCTTTAAAAAATGTTTAGGGGTACTCTCATTTTCCTGCTCAAATTGAAATACTGCCCCCCAATGAGAACAGCAGCACAAGAAGATAAATAGGTACAGCTGTGGCAGGAAGGTAAGAGGCTTTTCTATGCGCTCTGGTTTCCATCACAGTGTTCGGCTGCACCAGAAGTGGTTTAGTCATGCTGGCCACAGGACCCAGAAAGCTGGCTCTCTTGGCCTGAAAGCAGTGATGAGCACCACACCCCATAGTTGTACTCGACTGGACTTAACCATCCAGGGGTCCTTTACCTTTTTACCTTTTATTGGTTCTCTGTTCCACCAGGTTTCTGTTATGCCCACTATATAAAGGCTATTTTCTAAAAACCAAGCACTCCTGTTCACCCATCTTGGCTCAAAGGCTTCTTGCATTAGCATATAAATACTTGCATACAGGCTCTATCTTCAAGTGTCTTTAAGTGACCCTCCATATTCTTCTCAGACCACATTTTCTCAGCTGTGCTTGAGTGGACCAGACTGTGTCCTTGAACTCTGATAATGCCTCTTGCTTCCCTAGATGGAGTGTGTGAGTTTGCGTAGAATCTAGCCTACCCTACAAAGGCAAAAGTTCCAGCTACTGGAATATGGTCTCTGAAGGCTGCCTAGAATAGACTATGGTCTTCAGGCTGAAAAGGATTCTTCATTCCTTTTTATACTTTTGGCAAATGACAATGCAGTATTTGTTCCTATTTAATGCTCTTGCTAATGAAGTGGTCTGCTTTCAGACTGTTTGTTTTCTTAAACTGTTAAATTTAAACTTATGTGGATTTCACTACTGATTGGCTTGTAAGTTGCCTTGAAGACTTTGGTTTGTATTAAATGCAAATCCTACTCAGTGTAGTTCCATCTCAGTTGATTTCATTGGGACTATTCTGAGTGGAACTTAACACGATACAACTCCATGGATGCCAGAAAGTTTGGATATAAATTTTAAAACAATTAAACAGAATAAGCCCACCACACAAGCAAGGCTCTGGGAGCAATGAGAGGTTAAAAACTAACTGCCAAATACATTCTTTCACCTTTGGTGGATGTGCCCAAGGATTAAGGCTTTCTGGGAGATGATTTATAATGAAATGAAAAGGGTATTTAAATATACCTTTCTGAAGAAACCAGAGGCCTTTCTCCTGGGCATGGTCGGCCAAATGGTGCCAAAGAAGGACAGAACTTTCTTTATGTATGCTACAACAGCAGCAAGAATACTTATTGCAAAGTATTGGAAGACACAAGATCTACCCACTCTGGAAGAATGGCAGATGAAGGTGATGGACTACATGGAATTGGCGGAAATGACTGGCAGAATCCGAGACCAGGGTGAAGAGTCGGTGGAAGAAGATTGGAAGAAATTTAAAGACTATTTACAGAAAAATTGTAAAATTAATGAATGTTAGAATGATGTCAGAATGAAATTAAGTGGTTCTAGCAGCAATGTCATAAAGGTGTATGAAAAAAGTGGCTGGTTAATAGGTGAGAATTTAAAGCTACAATATATTAAGTTAAAGGACTAAGACAAAAACAAAGAGGGAAAGGAATTCCTGAATTAACCAATTGAACCGGAATACAAAAAAGGGAGGTGAGAGGAGGTCAGGAAAGCAAGGAAATGAAATGTAAGATACAAAAGGATAAATTTGTTTCTAAGTGTTCTTTCTATATTTTTTTATATATATACTTTGCATTTTGTATGTTTTTTCTCTTTTTTTTCTATATTTTTCATTGTCTTTTATGTAATTTTTTGTTTTTGAAATCTCAATAAATATCATTTAAAAAAAAAAAAAACTAACTGCCAAATAGGAAACACTTAATGGTTACTTAGGTTAGCTCCTTAAGAACAAAACAGACCTCACCAGGAAATCCAGAACAAAAATCCCTTTTGGTCCTGTGGACTGCTGATAGTTCAAACAAATCATCATGCTAGTTCTCAGAAGGACTGAAGAGCCCTAATAAATGGCCAATTCACATTTTGTAAAAAGAGCCTCTTTCCCCATCTCCACAAATTCCTAAGATTCTCATAGCAGAGGAGCAGGCCATTAGTAAATTCATTTGGTATTCTAGTGGATGTCAAATGTAGTTTGGTGGGTATTTCATTGTGTTTTGACATTAATTGATGGACACTTAAACTCTTCATAACTCAGCGGTGCTTCAGAATGGAGGAAATTAGAAAGATGAATTTCTAAGAAATGAACCCATTGAAGAGAGATGTGACTGCAAATTCATTACAATCAAGTTAGCCGAGAACCGTGACACCCAAGCCAGAAAAATGATGGCCAATTGTGGTTATATGTGACAAAACAGATCTTGGAAAGCAGGAAGGAGGTGCTGGCTCTCATTGAAGAAGTTACAGGTATTAAACAGGGAAGGAGATGGTGTCTAGTGCACCACCAGCTAACTGCTATGTGCTATTGATTCTTCCCAACTTCCCCCCAGATTTTAAGTGGGGGTGGGGTGGGGGTTGAACTGTATCATAACAGATTACAACAACTTTAGAAGCAGACATGCTTGTGCCTCTAACTTCATGTGTGGAGACTTAAGAGCAGGAATAACCTTTTTTATTCAGAGTTCATTAACTATAAGTGGGGGTGCCCCCTCTTCTGCTTTTCCTGTATATGCCATTCACTCATGTCATGTATTAATATTTTACCAGTTTATACAGTTTGCACAGCACACAGAAGACATTCACAAGGATGCGGGCTGTGCCCTGTTTTTAAAAGTATTTGGGGGCTGTTCTTCAGCTTCCAGCTACTAGAAAGTATGCTAACTGATAATTCTGACTCCTTTAGTCTACCAGTGGTTCCAAAGACTGCTGTTCTGTTTTCAGTTGATTTGTTGTTGCCACCCAACTGTCTCAGGAGACAATGGAAGAATGCGCCTCCCGGGGTAAATTCAAACCATTGGAGAGTTACAGCGCCTGCTGTGATTCTAGAGACTGATATGGGAGAGACATGTTTTATTGTAAACAGGGCAGGCGAAGGCATTCAGTTTTGTCGCTACAGGCACACCATGACATTTCTTCTCTCTGTACTTCTCCCAGCAGTCACTCCTGCTCTGGTAACTGCTGTGCCCATCTGTTTCTCTGTCTCCAGTCACTGTGATCATCTGCAAAGGATTCCCACATGACAGGGTTAATGTGGCCAGCCTTCTTGTCATGTTTGCCAACATCTTTGTAATGCAGAGTTTGGTCTGCCAACAGGCCTGGTGCCTGAAGCCAAGTCCCAATAGAGCAAATCCTTGGAGACCCTGCCATCTTCCGTTCTGTGGACAGGACCAAACCACTGTGCAAACATGCTGGGGATGTAGGCTTGGGGGAGCCAGGGGCAAAAGAAGGGGTGTGTGGTGGGGGCAGTTCGCCGCAGCTGTCACCACTGAGGAGGGTGACAAATTGTCGGGCAGCACTCACCAAGGGATCTGCAGCGTGCCTGAAACATACGTCTTTCCTGGGAGTGACGCAGTGGCATGGGCGCCTGCTGCCCTGAACAATCCGCCTGCCACCTCAGCTGTAGGGTGCCTGAGTGAAAGGACGTAGGCAGATTCCTTAGAGGCTCCGCGGAGTGTCCTGCCCCGGCTCAACCCAACCCCACAGGGAGCCGGCCCGCCCCTGGGCACAGGGTATGCATGCAGCCCCAGACGCCTACGGTTATCTTTTGTCTGTCTTTTTCTCCATCATGCCTTCTATCGCCAGCCTTCCAAGCGCTAAAGCAGAACTTCCACCCCAGGCGCATGATGGGTCCTTCCCAGTCCGCCTGTTGTGCAGGGTGTCCAGCGTGCAACTCGCTGCCTTTCTCCTGGCTGTCCTGGGCTGCCTAATGAGCATCTGCTCCACATCTGCCAACCTTGACTGGAGAGTGTGGCAAGTAGACAAAATCATGGGCAGCAACCAGCAGGGCATTGTGGGCATTGGCATCTGGGGTGCCTGTTCTGTAAGAAGAGTTACCATGAAGAAAACCAACATGATATGTATACCATTCAATGATGAGGAGTCCCTGCTAGCTGAAATCATCGTGGCCCAGGACTTGATGCCAATGGCCTCAGTGGCCAATGCGGTGACCGTTCTTTGGATGGCCTTTGCTCTATGCAACATCTTTGAGCCGGGAAAAGACGAGAATTTCATTGATACCTTCTTTTCAATTGGAGGAAGGATAGAGTTGACAGCGGGTACTTGTGTACTGATTTCCATTGCATGGAATCTTCACTCTGTATTAACAAACGAAGGAATTCCGCTTCCAGAGGTTTTGGGAGTGCCTCCGATTCCCACAGAACAACGTGCTGGAATGGCCATCTATGTTGGGTTTCTTGCTGCAGCTTCGCAGCTGTTAAGCGGAACTCTGGTTCTGGGTGAAAAATATTTTTGGAAGAGGAGTGAAATAAACATTTCCAAGCAAAAATTTGTAAATGACCCAGAAAGTGTTACAGACACTGAAAACCCAAAGCTGAGGATGAAATACAGACAGTACTTCTCTTCTGTGACACTGGAATGTGAAGAAGAAAAACCCACTATCTGGTGGAGATGTCAAAGTCATATTAAAACGGAAACCACGCCAAGCTCACTAGCAATATGGCTAACGAATGGTACCAGTCCTGTGACTGGCTTTTTTAAAAATTGTAGCAGGGGACATTGTGTATATTTATTTTCTTATGCATATTCTGTTGTTGTTTTTTTAACTGAATGCTTCTGTATCCCACCCTGGGATGCTTACAACATAGGGTTAGCTATAAATAGGGGGAATAAATGAAAAGTATAAAACTGTTATATTTAGATATTAATTTATGCTATATCTCTTTTAGCAATAAAAAGAATGTTATCTCATCGCAAACTTATGCTGGAGTGCTTATTTCACTGCAGACTCAACTGTGTATGGTGCTTTTTGAATTTTCTTCAGAAACACTGCAAATCGCAAAGTTCTGGGGCATGGTTCCTCTGTCTGTGTGTTTGCAGTCTGTTTTACAGAGAATACTGGCCAAGCCTTTGAGTGCCTGTGTGCTGCTCCCAGCCCTGGCCAGCAAGAACAATAATCAGGGACACCCGGTTTCAGTGGTCCAGAGAGACCTAGGCCACTTCCAGCTTTAGGCAGAATAAAAAATTAAAAATGATGGAACACAAAACAAAATAGCGCCACACACCAAAGAAGTGAGTTGTAATTAAATATGATGAAATATCTGCGAACAAAAAAGAACCATGTCTTTTACCAAATCACATTTCTCATTTGCTTAAGTTTGCAGCTCTAAGCTGAGAGTGGGTGTCACATTTTGGTCTGCTGCAGGTAGAAACAAGCTGAGAGAAGAATCAAATACCAAAAATATTAAGAAGTGACTAAATCTGAGGCCCACTTTGAGGTTGTGCCCCAGGCCAAATGCCCCCTGCAACCCCTCCCCCCAACTGGCCCTGCTTACAGGATTCCTTCAAAAACTCCTGCTGCTGAACACCAAACATGACAGGGGAGGGGGCCCCAAGGAAGGTCAGGTGGTACCCGGTGCGGAAAATTTCTTGTCACCCCCCCCCATTTATTTATTTATATTTATTTTTTACTGCAAAAATGGTTTTACGTTATTTCATAGTATCTTACAAAGGAATGTGGATTCTGGGCCTCTGATAACAAGTAGGCGACTATGGACAGATACTTAAATCTACAGGATGGATTGTGTTTTGGCTTGTGGTATTTTATTCATATTTATTGTTTATTTCTTTTAAAAACCTGCAAAGTGGTTTACTAAAACAAAAAACACCAAACATGACAGTGGAGCAGGCCCCAAGGTACAAACTCTGTGCTATTTTTCTAGAAAAAGAGGTCCTGGAACTCACCACAAAAGTCTTCCTTGTTCTCTTATAATGGCAACAGTGCCAACCTGAGAGGTGCCGGAACTGAGTTCCAGTTTTTATTGCTGCCGTAAATACAATTCTGCCCCTTACAGCTTTTCCACAGTGATTTACAGCTAGGAATGACTTTGACAGAAGACCACAGGTATTTAGGAGCAGATTTCCCACTACAACACGGCAAAATTGTAATCTATACAGAGACGCCGTGGCTTGGGCACCCACAGGCTCCGCGCTGCCCCAAATGGTCTACCCACCGCCTCTCCCTCAGATGTAGGGTGGCTGAGTGAGAGGAGGCAGGCAGACTCCTCGGAGGCCCCACAGAGCGTCCTGCCCCCTGCCCCGCAGGCAGCTGGCCCCATCCCCGTGGGCGGCAGGCCCTGCCCCTGGGCACAGGGCACTTACACCGCCCCAGGCGCCCGATCGGCTTGCTCCGCCACTGAGGGCGGTCTCCCATTCAGGGGTTCAGATTGGGATTGCTGGATATTTTCAGTCCTACGTTTTATAAGGGAAGGAATCCCCACGAGCATGCTCAGAAAAAGTCTCTGTAGAAGACTTGTAAGTCTACAAAGAAATATTTTGAGTCCATAGCACATGAACATCACCGAATCTGAAAGGAGTCATCTACCTGGGGACCAACACAGTGACTGTAGGGAGAATGGATATGCGAGTGACCAGGAAAGCAACCAATGAGCTGGGAAACTCAAATATCCCCCTCATCATGAATTTACAAAGTGGCCCTAACTTAAGCAAGAAATTATTTCACAGTACCAGACATCTCCACACCTCTGCCAGACTAATAGGGAGGTAAAACTTGTCTGTCCCCATAGAGTTTTTATAAAACTTTTCATTTTTAGAAAAGGGATACTGGACTAGTCAGATCCACCAGTACCATTGAATAAAGTTGCTGTAATTCAAAGTGGTGTTCAAACCCAATGTTATTTGTTTATTTCAAATCTTGCTTGCTCATTCCTTTGGAACTGGCAGCTGGGGTGTTTATTTACACATTTTGCATCCAATCTTTGCATAAGCTTACATCTAACAAAAAAGTGTCTTTTAAAAGTTGCAGAATCACACTGGTATTCAAATGTACACTGCCTCCAAGCAGTTGCCAACAGTTCCAAACGACCAGTACCCTGGAGTTATGATTGGTGTTCTTCTGAGCGTTCAAAGCAAGCTGCATTCTAACTGCCTCAGAACTCCAAGGAGCAGTTGCTACGGTGCTCCGACCAGCTTCACTCTTTTCAGGTCCTCTCCTAGATCAGATGCTGGAAGAGAAAGACCTGGAAGAAGTCCTTGCTCTGGAAAAAGACTGGTTGAAGAACTGATTCACACAGGTGCATATATGCAGCGCTCCTCAGTTCCCCACCAACATAGCAGTGTTTTCTCAGATAGGAACAGATTGACTTTTATTTCCTTTTGTCCCGTCTGAGAGCCACTTTTAGGCTTTTCACAATGTGTGTGTGTGTGTGTGTGTGTGTGAGAGAGAGAGAGAGAGAGAGAGAGAGAGAGAGAGAGAATGAGGACTAAAGCCAGAAAGGATTCTTTCCTGAACAGGAGCTGTATTGGTCTGTTGCACCAACTGTCTTTCAAGGGTAGAATGCATAACTTTGGTGGGATCATGCCTGACATTTTACCAATGGAGAGGGAAGGGAGGGGAGCATAGGAATGCAGAGGAGGAGTGGACTAGACAAGAGCCCAATTATCTGCATGGAGGGGGTCCCTAGAACAAAAGGGGTTGTGCGGTTGTGCAATTTCTTCACCCCTGGGGAAGTCTGATTCCTGGCACTTATGATTGCAGGTACAGCAGACTTTTCCATTCCTACGTCTCAAGGTGGGAAATGCAGAATTTGCCCTAGAAGGATGGCATTGTTTTAGCTGCACATCACTATTTGCTCAAACTTTCGGAGGGGCCCATATGATACTGTCCCTAAGTATCTAACGGTTATCTTTTGTCTGTCTTTTTCTCCAGCATGCCTTCTATCGCCAGCCTTCCGAGCGCTAAAGCGGAACTTCCACCCCAGGCGCATGATGGGTCCTTCCCAGTCCGCCTCTTGTGCAGGGTGTCCTGCGTGCAACTAGCTGCCTTTCTCCTGGCTGTCCTGGGCTGCCTAATGAGCATCTGTTCCACATCTGCCAACCTTGACTGGAGAGTGTGGCAAGTAGACAAAATCATGGGCAGCAACCAGCAGGGCATTGTGGGCACTGGCATCTGGGGTGCCTGTTCCATAAGAAGAGTTACTTTGAAGAAAACCAACATGATATGTATACCATTCAACGATGAGGAGTCCCTACCAGATGAAATCATTGTGGCCCAGGACTTGATGCCAATGGCCTCAGTGGCCACTGCGGTGACCGTTCTTTGGATGGCCTTTGCTCTATGCAACATCTTTGAGCCGGGAAAAGACGAGAATTTCATTGATACCTTCTTTTCAACTGGAGCAAGGATTGAGTTGGCAGCGGGTACTTGTGTACTGATTTCCATTTCATGGAATCTTCACTCTGTATTAACAAACGAAGGAATTCCGCTTCCGGAGGTTTTGGGAGTGCCTCCGATTCCCACAGAACAACGTGCTGGAATGGCCATCTATGTTGGGTTTCTTGCTGCAGCTTCGCAGCTTTTAAGCGGAACTCCGGTTCTGGGTGAAAAATATTTTTGGAAAAGGAGTGAAATAAACACTTCCAAGCCAAAATTTGTAAATGACCCAGAAAGTGTTACAGACACCGAAAACCCAAAGCGAAGCATGAAATACAGACAGTACTTCTCTTCTGTGACACTGGAATGTGAAGAAGAAAAACCCACTATCTGGCAGAGGTGTCAAAGTCATATTAAAACGGAAACCATGCCAGGCTCACTAGCAATATGGCTAACGAATGGTACCAGTCCTGTGACTGGCTTTTTTTAAATGGAAGCAGGGGACGTTTTGTATATTTATTTTCTTATGCATATTGTTTGGTTTTTTTTTAACTGAATGCTTCTGGGATGCTTACAACATAGAGTCAACTATAAATAGGGGAATAAAAGAAAAGTATAAAACTGTTATATTTATATATTTATGTTTTTTATGTTATGCTATATCTCTTTTAGCAATAAAAAGAATGTTATCTCATCGCAAACTTATGCTGGAGTGCTTATTTTGCTGCAGACTCGACTGTCTATGGTGCTTTTCAAATTTTCTGCATTTCAGAAACACTGCAAATCGCAAAAGGTTCTGGGGCATGCTTCCTCTGTGTGTCTTTGTGTGTGTGTGTGTGTGTGTGTGTGTGTGTGTGTGTGTGTTTGCAGTACGTTTTACAGAGAATACTGGCCAAGCCTTTGAGTGCCTGTGTGCTGCTCCCAGCCCTGGCCAGCAAGAACAATGATCAGGGACACCTGGTTTCAGTGGTCCAGAGAGACCTAGGCCACTTACAGCTTTAGGCAGAATAAAAAATTAAAAATGATGGAACACAAAACAAAATAGCACCACACACCAAAGAAGTGAGATGTAATTAAATATGATGAAATCTCTGCAAACAAAAGACCACAGGTATTTAGGAACAGATTTCCCGGTACAACATGGCAAAATTGTTATCTATACAGAGACACGGTGGCTTGGGTGCCCGCAGGCTCCACGCTGCCCGAAACTGTCTGCCCACCACCTCTCCCTCAGCTGCAGGGTGGCTGAGTGGGAGGAGGCAGGCAGACTCCTCGGAGGCCCTGTGGAGCGTCCTGCCCCAGCTTGCCTCACCTGCAGGCGACTGGCCCTGTCCCAGTGAGTGGCTGGCACCACCCCTGGTCACAGGGCATGCACGCCGCCCCAGGTGCCCGATCGGCTTGCTCCGCCGTTGGGGAAGCACATCCTTTTTTGAGATTGTCCTTCTATGTGATGCCCAAAATCTCTCTAACATAGTCCATATGAAAGGCATTGAGGGATTTCTCCTGGAGGGTATAAGTTTCCCATGACTCCCTTCCATAAAGCAGCATGCTTAACATGCAAGCCTGTAGACCTTCAACTTGGTGTTGGTCATTAGCATCACATTCTCCCACCTTCTCTGGCTGATTGAGGTGGCCATGGTGACATCCTGACATCATGCACATGGCCCTCTGAACATTGAGGGGCCCCAACTGCTTAGGCCCCAAAAAGCCTCTGTAGAATTTCCTCAGAGTGCTGGTAGAATAGAAATTTTGCTTTGACTTCTGGAACTCAAATAATGTCCTCGACAAATGGGCATCTCCCCTTCCTCAGCCCCCAAGCTTCATTAAGACAATTTTAATTTGGCTGGGGCACTGGAGGTGGAATTGGATATTTATTCCAGTTGCTTCACTTCCAATCATGGAAGTGATTTGTTTAGTTGAACAGCTCAACTATTGGATTCTACACTAGTTAAACATAGCTTAAATAACTATATGAGTGTACAGCTCAACTACTTGTGCCATAGGTAACACTAAATGAATGTCATGCATGGACAACCCTATTGTGAGACCTCCTGCTCCCATGTGATGATGTGAGCCCATTGTGTGGAGTTGCATAGCTGGCTTTATAAGTCAGATTTTCATCTTTCCTGGATAGTTCATCACCCCTTAAGATCGTATAGGATCAGCCAGTTGCAGTTTCAAAATGTTTTTATTGGTATTTTCAATTTACACAAGATGTAGGGAATACACAACACAATAACAAATATACAGTTTTAGGGAAGGGTTCTCTGATTGGCTGCAATGAGCACCTTTCTTGTTTCGGGCCTATTCCATACTTTTATTGCCTTCTCCTAATTGGCTTGTGTTACTTTTGTCACAGTATGCAGATGTTGAAAGCAAGGAGGGGCATCCTTGGTCAGAACACAAGGCCACCAATTCAATGAATGAATGTACATGCCCTCTGTTCCTATTGTCCACCAGGTGGTATGCTTCTGGAAACCACGCAGTTGCTGGAAACCATAGGATGGGAGAGTGCTGTTGCTCCCAGATCCTGCTTCCCATGAACATCTGGCTTTCCACTAGGAGAACAAATGCCGGACTAGATGGCCCACTGACCTGATCCAGCAGAAATGTTATTAACCAGCTTAAAACGAGGGAGATGGAGAAATAGATTTAGGGTCCTGGTAGAGGTATCTCTCCTAATGCAGGACAGTGATGAACAGGTGATGCACCACTTGAATGCTGCCTTCAGCTCACATTTTAAGCAAATAGGCAAGGAAATGTATCTATCAGTTAACCATCCTGAACCTGAGAGGCACTGTCCCACTGAACGTCCAGCAGGTTCTACTTGAAACTTCATCAAATTAGGTTACCTGCATTGTTTTCTGGTGAGTTTTCCCTAGCTAACAGTGGGGAACTAGAACTATAACTAGAAAAACCAATGCAGTAGTGCCAGGATCTGAATGCACCCAAAGTTGTTGTTATTTATTTATTTATATAGCACAATCAATGTACATGGTGCTGTACAAATAAATATTAAAAAGTCCATCCTGATGAACTATACAATACAAATCAATAGTTTAAACAGCATGATTATATCAGGTGTACTAAAACTGCCATAGCCAACTGGAACCAGAACTCGCCACAGTTTGGGGCCAACAGGGGTTGCTCAGCTGATGGTTGATTTGTGGCTAAAAGTCACGATCAAGAACTGTTTAGTGTCTCCTAGAAATAGCTGAGGTGTTGGAGGAACAAACACAAGCTCAGAACACAGGATGAAGTCTCCCTTCTTTCTCCCTCCAGGCCTCTCATCTGTAGACCTATTGAAATGAATGGAGCTAAGTTCATCATGCCCATTGCTTTTAACGGGAGTGGAACTTATTTGGATACCATTCAAAATGCAACAGCCAGCCTTGCTCTTAGTATTTCAGAAGAACCGTGTAAAGTTTCATGCTAAGAGATTGGTTCATTTAAAAAAAGCGAAAGCAAGAAATATTTGTGCTTAATTAGTCTCAGACAATTCAGTGACATCGGTTGGTTTGGCATTGACTAATTACTGCTGTTAATGTGAGCTGATAATAATGAATGAAGAAACCCTCACACGGGCCTTAGAACCAACTATCCATTTCCTCCTGCAAGGCCACAGAGGCTACATTCATATTTCATCTACATTCAGTATGAGAATGCATCAGAGTGGGAGGAATCAAATTTCAACATGCCAGAAACATTTTTCTTACCCACTTGGCTTTGCAGGCTCTTAGATTTCATGCCTTGCCAGTTTTACAACCTTTTTTTATTTTTTTAAAAAGCCCTTCCTTTCAATTAGATCCCTGGTGCTTTTATTTTATACGAACTGGCATAGCCATTGTAGCAACCACTCCTTTGATAAAACAGATTTTTCTCTTTGGTTATTCTAGGAGAGAAACCCAAAATCTATTGTGAAGATTTTTAAGTAACAGCACAAAAAAGAACAGCAAGCCAAATCCATAGAATAAGCATTTTATTACTGATTTTTTTTTTGATTGTACAAGTAATAACTTGTTCCTCCTTTTCAGAAGAAGGAAACACGAAGTTGCCTTGGTGCTGTCTGATAATCCCTGCCTCCCCCAGTCCAATTTTACTAGGTGTCTAGCATGAAAAGGGAGATATCTTCCAGCATCTTCTTAATTGACTTCTTAAATTTATTTATTCCTGGATCTTATGGTGCTTGACTAAGCTGAATACAATAATTGCCTACATTTGTTTTGAGTCATATAAGTAATGAACGATATCCAACTATTAGTGCCATCTTTACCACAGGTTGCACTCAACTAAGTCCTACTCAGAGTAGACCCATTGAAATGAATGGACACAAGATTCTCATGCCCATTAGTTCCAGTGACTCTACTCTGAGTAGGCCAGCACTGGACGCAACCCCTCTCTACCAAAAATTAAGTCCTATTGAATTCTGTGAAGCTTATTCCCAATTAAGTAAGGCAAGGACATGTTACTCAAGTTCACTTGTTTTCAATAGGCCTGTTATGTACATGACTATCCTTCTATAACACTCAATAACTGGTTGGTAAACAGGTTTCCACTGAAGCCATGGCAACCAAATAAGTAGGTGGTTTAGAGTTTTCTGCCTTTGCAACAGTGCTTTTTATTATTAATGTTTTTAAATATCAAAATTGCCCCTTGTTATATACATTTCATGGTCAAGTTTGATTAACATTTCATCTACAGACCATGGTTGTTGTTCTTTTACTGCCTGTTATCAAACTTCGACTCCATAGAAATGATTTACACAATACAGTCTTCTATTTTTAAAATGAAATATTATGAAGGGGAGTCCTGAAGGTGGTTAGTATTTGAAACATGCTGGTCTTACTCCGCATACCTGGAGGCTTCCCCCATCTTTCCTTCCATTTGGCTCTTTTCTGCCCCCCCACCCCACCCCCGCTACTTTTTCTACTAGACTAAATAGAAAGCAATATAAATAAGGAACAGACATATTTTCAAGATCTTGGGTTCCTGCCACAGCAGTCCTGCCTCCCCTCAGGCTTCACGTAATCTCCATAATCTCCTTCCAATCATAGCGACCAAGCAAAGAAGACGTAAATTATGTACCTTCTAAGGCAGACTGGTCAAAACTTTCAGCAACCTTCCCGAGTTAAGTGCTTCCCATTTATATATCTTGAAGCTAGCAAAATGTGTGAATTCCCCTCCGCCGCTTCCTCCAGTGCTTTTCTTTCCACTTCCCAATGAAAGAATTACTGTTATTATGCTTTCTGCTCACCTGCTCCCTGTCTTCCTATCTGGCATCTCAATTTCAAAGTAATAATAGCTGCCTAGAGGTTTCAATTAGCTTATAACGAAATGTTGCTCATTAATAAAGCCCCAGGATAGTAAAACATATGCCACTTCAGCACTTCCCCCCGCCCCCCCCGCCCCCCCGCCCCACACACAGAGAAAGGGAGAGAGAGATCACAGTTTTCAAAACGAAGCAACCTTTATGTTTGCAATCAGCATGCAAGTAGTTTATTGAGACATTTGTCTCAGTAAACACAAAGGGATTATCTAGAAGCAGGTCCCATTGCAGGCAGTATCCTCCGCACAATGTTGACATTTGAAGCAATGTTAAAAT